GATAGGCTTGTGCTCCATATTGCAACCCACGTGGGCTCTTACAAGATCTCACACAAAGGTTTCAACACTGGGCTTCCTGCCCTCTGAGCACGCACTCTGCCACTCCCTGTTCCTAAAATCCAGCTGTAGTTGATCAGCTCCAGTCGCGGAATGGCTCATAAATGTCATGAGTGCTTCCGAAGTCCTGGAACCCGAAGGGTTAACTGTGGCTGAAGAGAATGTGGAGAGATCAGAAACATCTGAATCGCCTCCAGATTCTCCTTCCACAGCAGACAGGCTTCGGGGCAGGCTTCGCGAAAGACTTAGGACCAGAAGATCAGAGGATCGCTCAAAGGCTGTCCACAGAAACCTACGTGCATCTAGTCCTGAGTATTAACAGGATAGAAAGCTTTCCAGCAGCTCAAGGAGCTGTTTTACTATAAAACAGCTCCCAGTGAAGCCAGAAATTCTGTGGAAGCAAGGAGTCAAAACCTTGGCTTGCATCCACGTTTCTTGTATCTTGTTCCTGACCCCGAACTCTGGATTCTGCCCTTGAACTACGCCGGTATTGGACTTCGGACTCTGACTCTGGACTACGCTGTGTATCGGACTCTGGACTTTGACGCTGGACTTCATTCTGTGAGTTGATTTATGGACATTGGCTTTGCATTCTTGGTATTCTTGACCCTGGACTGGTTTATCGGACTTCGGCTGTTGTAACCTCCGGGAATGTGACAATAAACTAGATTGACTGCCCCACTTCCCATGGGTGTTACTCCTCAGCCTTTTCTGCCGTTTTTTTTTAAATAGATTTTGTTAAAAACACAAAGAAAATCCCACCTTAAAATGCACACAGTTATTCCAGTTGTATGAAACACACAACTCTCCACCTGTGCAATTCCCTCTTTACTGTGTCATTTTATTTCCATCTACTGTAATCTGGATTGGGCAAAGCACAGACCTTCAGATACTGTTGGATTACAACTACCAGCATCCTTCACTACCCTGTTTTCCCCAAAATAAGACCTAACCTGAAAAGAAGCCCTAGTATGATTTTTCAGGATGCTCCTAAAATAAGCTCTACCCCCAAAATAAGCCCCAGTTAAGTGAAAGCCCGCCTTCCACTCTTGTGCAGCAACCAGAAGATGACGTGACTGTATTTCCATAAATGTAGATTGTTGTAAGTGGGGAAAAAATCCCCTGAAAATAAGCCCTAATGCATTTTTGGAGGAAAAATTAATATAAGACCCTGTCTTATTTTTTTGGGATACACGGTACTGACTCTGCTGGACAGGGATAGGGGGATTTGCAATCCCCTAACATCTGGAGAATCAGGCCTTGCCTACCACTGTACGGCTCCGATCCGGACCTCTGTTGATTGACAGCACGTAAGATTCGACCCAGAGCAAGCCCAAGCAAAAGCCTTCCATTTTGTTGTACAAAAGCGTAGTAAACGTTGTCCCTTTTACTGGTGGTTTAACCCCTTTAGAAAGGCAGAACTGACCCCTCCTGGCAGCTGAATAAATATATAAAAAAACGGGAGAACGCTGGCTGACAAATTAATTTGCATAGAGGTTTCCCCGTGAGGAAACAAGAGCAGGTAAACAGGCCTAGCATCCACTTTGGATTCTGGAAGAGGAGAAAATTCATCAGCAAATTCAGCCATGAAAACCACAACTAAATTAATAGCAATAATCTTAGAAATGCAGAGCTAGAAGGGACCCTGAGGATCATCCAGTCCAGCCCATCAAAGAGGCCCGGGTGGGGGGATTCGAACTCTCAACCCTCTGGCTCGGCAGCCCAGAGACTTAAACTATTGAGCTACTTTTTGAAGCCACACAGGAGGCCTGAGGCTCATCCCTTTCTGCCGCTCCAGAAACAGCCTCGGCAACAACAACGAGGCTCTCTCAAAGGACTGTTGGATTAATGCAAATCTGGCTAGAGCACTGAATAAAAATAAACAGGGAAAATATTGATATTCATAATGACCGGCCAACAAAAGAGAGGGCATTTGCTAATGATGTTTTTACTTCGAAATGACAAAGATCTAGAGAGAGATTGCTGGAGAAAGTTGCCAACTCTTTTATTTTGTAGGGCTCCTGTGTTTTTAACATGTGAAACGGAAAGAACGCCCCCCGCCCCCCGAAGTCTTGCGGCACTTTAAAAGATGAACAGGTTTATTTCAGTGTGAGCTTTTCTGGATGACAGTCCCCTTCCCCAGACACATGGGGCACAAAAGCTAGGCTTTACGGAGTTCCAGATAATTAAATAAATTGGCACTAAGTGTAAATTACGAAGCGGGTTCCAGCCAACGTATACGTGGCTGGGCAGGAGGGATCAGCGCGAAAGGGGGATGCTAGGCTTTTAATAGCCATGCCATGGGCATCCAAATTGCAGTTGCCTGCATGGAGAGAAACCTAGCAATACATTTCTGGGATTCTTGCAGCTTTTAAAGACAGTCGCTCCCTTCCAGGAAGAAAAAAAAACGGTGCCTATAGACCAGGCTGAACAACCACCTCCCTGCTTTATGTATTCCGTGTCTTCTCTTTAAAAAAAAATAAAATTGCATATTCCATAAGACATTATCTCAACACAGCCGGAGATTAAAATATTTGTTTCGGTAACAAAATAGCACTCGGCTGGGTTTCACAGAAAGGCAGGATGACGCCAAGACAATAACATCCGAAAAGAAAGAAGTGGGACCGAGATTTCCTTCAAGAGAGCAAAGGTTTCAGGACAGACGTGGCTCAGCCAGGTTACTGTTTTGCCCGTTGTGCAGAAGTAAATATCCCTTGGCCACATTTGCTACATCAGCGCTGCTTCATGCAACCACGCTGCTATTAAAACAGCAGCTGGAGAACATCAGATTAGGTTGTTCAAGCTCTCCAGTCCACACCTTTTCCTGAACTTTGGAGCACCCATTCGTCATAGGGAGACAGAGACAGAAAAAGGTCCCGTGCAACTGGACCCTGTTTTGATGAGCTGGGGCACCAACTTATATCACTCAAGGGCCTGGACAACATTCCCAGTTGCAACCTCCCTAAGTCAACGCTCAGAAGGAATAAGGGTGAAGGGCAGACAAGCTAACATTTCCAGCTTCCTCCAGTGGTCGTTTCTCAAAACAACACGGGTCAGTGCGTTCCCAAAAATGAGGTGTCACAGGATTCAGCAGCAAAAGAAAAACCAACGCAGCTTCAATCTGACTATTGGGAGGTTGGGAGAGTCAAGCCAAGGGGTGCAGCTGGCTGAGTCAATGTGACAAGAAAAGGAGGTTGGAAACCAAGCACCATCTTCAAATGCTGGATGTGGTTTCCAAACCAATGGGGCAAGCTGAGCAAATCTCCCAGGAAACCACGGTTCAGAAGCACTGCCCTCCCCGAAGATGCAGCTTTGCTTGGAGGGAGAGGCTGTCAAGTTGATAGGTCCGAACTTTAACAAAGAAAAGAAAAAACACAGGGCAGCCATTCTGTGTTTTCATCTTTACGAGATTTTCTGTGTGTGCAAAAAAGGAATATTTGTTGGGGGGGCAGGAAAGAGTTCCATGTGAGGTCGAAACATCTGGATTCCACTGGGGGGAATACCTGCAAATAATACAGGATTCATTACAGGACAAAATGCATTTTCCATAAGCAATTCTAGGAAGCTCCAGATTTTCCGGCAGGCGAGGGCAGGCTCAGGAAGCAAGTTGCAAGGACAGATTTGGGTCCTGGGAAGCTGATTCTCGAGGGAACAGAAAGGATGACCCAGAAGGAGTGCCTTGCAAAATGATAGAAAGGGAAGCCAGCCTGATGAAAGCTAAGGATGGTGGTTCTAGGTTTTTCCCGGCTGTTTGGCCGTGTTCTGAAAGCTAAGGATCGTCTGCTTACTCTCGAGGAAGACGTTTACGATGTCCTTGAAGACACCTAATCGCATAATTTGAGGTTACAAAAATATCCCACAGACACAAGAGCAGATATTGGCCACCTAAGCGCATAATTTGAGGTTACAAAAATATCCCACTACACTGGATGTATTCTTCAACCCTACCTAAATCCCTAGCCTGAGTCCCATGAAGATCTATCTGAACAGAGTAGCAACTGAATGAAGCTTGAACGTGCCCCGATTCTCAATAGCATATAATGCAACTAGCGTAGTGTAACGTAAACAATAAAATTAAAAATATGTGCCTTTCTGAATCAGATCCAGAAGAACCCACACATCGAATCCAGCACTGTCTGCAGGAGAAAATCTGCAAGCAGTTTTCCCAGGTTCGAGAAAGTTATCTTCCCCTCTGTTTCCACCAGCTGGGGAGCAGCTCTGAACACAGACAGACACAACCACTTGTTTTAGGTTTGTGTGTGTGTGTGTTTCTCTGGGTTCCTTCTGCTTGCGGGCCAGAAGCAAGCAAGACCCACCCATTTTCCGAAGCAGGAAAGGACATGGGCAGAATCGGCTTGTCGTTCGGTATCTGCTTTCATCCCTGTGCTTTTAGAGGACGCCACCTTGATCGTAGAGCTTTGCCTGCCTGGAATTTGGGGATCGGCCTTAAATAGCTGGGTGACGAACTGGCAACCCCAATCCCCTGTTTCAAAGCTAGAATCTCTTCTCTGAGCAAAGGTGCAACATAGCAGGGTTCACATCTGAGGTTCCCAAGCTTGTGCGTGGCCATCCAGGTCTTTCTCCTGCTTGGGTTCCTGCAGGTTGAGCAAGAGAAGGGCCCCTACGGAGACGGTTTTCAGGCTCAGCACGTTGACCGTCTCCTGCTGGATGGGGCCCCCCGGGTTCTGCAAGCAGGGCGGCCACTCCGACACGTTCTCCGCCGGCTCGTGCTTCACGGCGTGCATCCTCTGGTGCTTGATGAGGTTCGCGCTCTGCCCGAAGGTTCGGTCGCAGTGCGAACACTTGAAGGGCCCCTCGCCCGTGTGGATGCGCCGGTGCCTGATCAGGGTCGAGCCCCGGCGGAAAGTTTTGTCACAGTGCGGGCACTGGTAGGGCTTCTCGCCGTCGTGCAAGCGCTGGTGGCGCATGTATTCCTGCCGGCAGGTGAAGGTGGAATCGCAGGAAGCGCACGGATAGGGTTGCTCCCCCGTGTGGATCCGCTGGTGCCAGACAAACTCTTGCTTGTAACGGAAGCTCTTGTCGCAGCCAGGGCACTTGTACGTCTTCTCACTGGCGTGGCTCCTCTGGTGCCAGGTAAACTCCTGCTTGAAGCGGAAGCTCTTCTCGCACTCGGGGCACTTGTAGGGCCGGTCCCCGATGTGGGCTCTCTGGTGCCACATGAACTCCTGCTTGAAGCGGAAGCTCTTCTCGCACTCGGGACACTTGTAGGGACGCTCCACGGAATGGGTCTTCAGGTGCCACGTCAGCTCCTGCTTGAAGCGGAAGCTCTTCTCGCAGGCCCCACACTTATGGGGCCACTCCGGGGTGTGAGTCCGCTGGTGCCACATCAGCTCCTGGCGGTGGCGGAAGACCTTCTCGCACTCGGGGCACTTGTAGATCTTCTCCCCAGTGTGCACTTTCTGGTGCCAGGTGTGCTCGTGCGCAAACCGGAAGCTCTTGTCGCACTTCCCACACTTGTAGGGGCGCTCTTCTTTGGGGACCCTCTGGCGGATGCTTGGGGCAGCCAGGCAGTGCGCGCAGGCGCACGGCGGAGCCACAGTGGGGCTCTGCTGCTGGGCTCCAGCGGAAGAAGGTGCCTTCACGTTTCTGGTTTCGCACTCGGGACAGACTTGCGTCACTTCTTGGGCGGGGGCGGCAGGGGAAAGACCGTGAGCTAAAGGGGCCGGGAAGCATTTTTGACACTGGGTGCAAATGAGCAGCATCTCCTCGTGGGCACCGGGTTGGGATCCAGCAACACCCACAGGCCAGAAACGGTCCCTCGTGACCCTGGGATGCCCCACGTGAAAGGCCCCGGGTGCCGGCTGCTGGCCCACCATGGGGCAGTTCGGCCACCTGAGCTCCATAGGCCAGGGGGGAAGAACGGCCATTCTGTTCATGCAAAGGTTGGCGCTGAACTGGCCTCCCGGCCATGGGGAGAACTGACCGACGGCCCCATTGCTCAGGGTCCCCTTTAGCGGTTCTGGGTACACGGCCTGGCCTGGCAGTCCTGCTGGATCTTCCTCAAAACAGCATTCCTTCTTAATCTGGATCTGACCATCTGGTGGGGGAAAAAGTGCACAAAATCGAGACATTATACACAAAGAACCAGCTCAGTTACAATGGTCCAACCAGTCCATAATTTGATCCTCCTGATGTTACTAGGAAGTGGCTGTAATTCAACTCTAGGGATGTCAAGAATACTCACTAAATCCTTCATTCTTGTTGATTTCATCTGTTTCAACCCAGTGGGATACTTTGAAGAGGAAGCATCTCCAAACTCCCGGGTTTTTATAACTCTCCTCCAGTGTGAGAGTGAGACAAAGAATTGCATTTTGTTTGTACGTGAGCAGCACTGTTTCTTTTGACAAATCAAAGCATGTGCATGCATGTGCGCATGTACACACATAGACACACAGAGAGAGCAAAAATTGAAAGACTAGTTGTTGTTTTTAACCCATTTAGTGCTTCTAATTTTTGAAATTATGCAAAATTCTATGCAATTTTCATAGGGACAAAGTTGGGAAAGCTATTCAATTTGCAGACACCTTAGTGTGGAGGAAACGGCTCCCTGTCTCACTCTTGCGCTGGAGGCGAGAAATCTTGCTCCATCCGCCTGCAGCGACGAGGACTTACCCAAGAAGACGTGGTTCGGCCTCTCCCTCGCCTTCGAACGCTGCAATCTCCCAACACAAGGCTCCTGTCCCCGCTCAATCCTTAAGATGATATCAGGCTTATGGGCAGCAAGATCTGTGCGTGGAAAAGCCAAGGAGATGTGACCATGAGATTTTCATTATATATACAGTGGTGCCCCGCATAGCGACAATAATCCGTTCTGAAAAAATCATCGCTATACAGATTCGTTGCTATGCGGGGCAAAAAAGCCCATAGGAACGCATTAAAACACGTTTAATGCGTTCCTATGGGGGGGAAACT